CCCCCCCTTCGCCCTGCCCTGCTCCCCCACTGATGTAACATTTACCATTCAGCTATAATGGAGTACTTGTCTGTTTCCTTCTCAGGACTGTAATCTTGTTGAGGTCAGGGAATACATTTAATTTATGGTTGGATCACTTGCTCCCAAGCTCTCATACAATGTCAGGCAAATCACAGGCGTTTGGTAAGCCAGGTCTGCTCCGTTACCACCTAAGAGAGCAGCTCGGACTTGCCTTCCAAGACTCCCTTCAGCTTGGGGCGATTACAGGTTTCTGCCTCTCAGAACAGCTGCTCACCCGATGAGGATTAAAGACAAAACAATGTTTACAAAATGCTCTTGTCAAACAGCCCTGGGCTGGGTGGGGCTCAAGGACCAAACCCACACAGGCAGCCCAGAGCTCCGGGAGCCCACGGGCAGCGGGCAGCTACGCTGAGGACGGCGGTCAGGAGCCACAGGACCCATTTTATGTGTAAGGAGGACTCGGTTGCACGTGGCCTCCTGGAAAGCTCCACCGCAGGTTCACGTGGGGTCTGTCTGAGAAGGGAGGGAGCTACCGGGACCGACGTGCCTCTGATTTCCCGTCATCCTCTAGGTCTCGTAAGGTACTTGGTTTCTCCTTTGTGTGTCCTGGGGCTTGAACTCAGGTCTGGGCACTTTCCCTAAACTTGTTGTTTTGTTCAAGGTTAGTGTTCTATCACTTTGGGCCACAGCTCCATTTCCATCCCCCTTCTGAAAAGGGAGCCTTCTTGCTGGGGCCAAGCCAAGGTAAAGGCAGAGAGGGAGGACTGAGGAGGGGGGCAAAGGGGGAGGACTGAGGAGGGGACTGAGGGAGTTGGTGGGAGAAATGAGAAGAGTTTCCAGAACATTCCACTCATATGGGGTTTGAGAAAGGCAAGAAAGGCCTTGAGTTTTGTGGCACTGCTCTGATGTCAGTGCAGCCCAGACTCAGGAGCATGTGGTCCAGAATCAGCAGGGCCACTGACTGACCAGCTCTGGCTGTCCTGAGCCGCTGCCCTGGACTTGACCTGGTGTGGCTGTCCTGAGCCGCCGCCCCGGACGTGTCTGTGCTGTGTGGAGCACATTTCTCATTCCTCTCATGGCTCACTGTCGGGCGGAAGACTTGGTTTTGCTGGAAATTGCAAACGGCGATCTGCAGCCGAGCTTGGGAAACACCGATCTTACCCCAGTGTGGCAAAAATGAACCAAATGCCACGATGCCAACCTTGCAGTAGGACTTAGTAGAATGGAGCTAAGGATGGGGATGAATAGATCAGGGTGCTGGTGGCTCACGCCTTTCATCCTAGCTACTCAGGAGGCTGAGACCCGAGGACGGAGGTTCAAAGCCAGGCAGGGCAGGTAATCTGTGAAACACTTATTTCCAATTAACCAGCAAAAAGCCAGAAGTAAAGGTGTGGTTCAAGTGGTAGACCACCAGCCTTGAGTGTAAAAGCTAAGGGACAGCATCCAGTCCCTGAGTTCAAGCCCCGGTGCTAACACACAGGTGTGCAGGCACATATGCGTGCACACACACACACACACACACACACACAATGGTGATGCAGAGGGAAAGTTTTCAGTCTTGGCCTTCCCTGGCGCACAGAGCAGGTGATGGGGTGAGCCCGCACCAGCTCGCCCTCATCCCGAGCCCCTGCCTGCCTTCTGCCTGTCACGCCCGTCACTGAAGTGCCCGCTCTCTCCTGGCTGGGGCTGGGTCCTGGGCCCATCCACCTTTCATGCCCAAGGTGTGCTAGGCCTGTTTTGTCAGGCTGGGTAGACGTGAGCCCTCAGGAAAGCTGCTTCCAGTGGACACCCTGCACTGTCCCTCTGCTGGGGACCGTTCTCCCCCAGGGCGGACACTGGGCAAGTCTACACTTTTGTATTGTCACCAATGTGTGTGTGTCCTAACTGACACAGTGGGCAGAGCTCATGGCACTGCTGGAGATCCCCAGTGCACAGGACAGTGCCCAACAAGGAAGGATTTGACTCCAAATACCAACACTGCTAAGGCCAAAACTCCATGGGGTTTTGCTGGTACTTTCCACTATATTTGCATTTATCAAAAGGCATATATATTGTTTCAAATTCAGAAAAAAAAAAAACCCAAAACCAAAACCAGAAGCCAGTGTAAGCCAGGTGTGATGGAAGACGCCTGGAATCGCAGCACTTGGGAGGCTGAGGTTTGTACCCGCCAGGGGACAGCACCCAGGCCCTCCTGAGCGCAAGCCCCCGTACAAATCTGAGGATATCCTGGATTACCTAGTGGTTTTGAGGCTGGCCTGAGTTGCGTAGAAAGACTCTTTCTTGAAAAGAAAACTAAAGCAGCTGGGCACAGTGACTCACACCTGAAATCCTAGCTACTCTGGAGGCAGAGATGAGGAGGATTCAGGTTTATGGCCAACATGGACGAGAAAGTTAGCAGAAGCCATCTCAACACACAAGCAGGCTTGGTGGCTCTTGCCTGTCATCCTACCTATGGAGAAGGCGCAAGGAGGAGGCCTGGGTCTAGGTAAAGGTGTGGTTCGGGTAGAGCACCTGCCCAGCGGGCGTGAGGCTGTAGCACAAACCCTTGAACCACCTACAGGAGAAAAGAAAAGAAAAAACCGAAAAAAAAAAAAGTTTAAAGAAAACTTCCTTTTTTAAACTAATGCAAGCTTAACACATAAAAGGAAAACAAAAAGAATAATTAACAAGGCACCAAGGGGAAAAAAAAGACAAAGCAAAACCCCAAACAGGAAATACTGAAATAGAGAAATAAACAGATTTCAAGAACTGGACTTGACAAATATTTGTTGAGCAGCACCGCGGGCCAGGCGGCTGAGGGATGCGGGGCCGGTCAAGGCTGGACTAGGGGACAGACATCCAGACAGGAAGGCGGCCGCACCGCCTGGCTGGGAGCAATCTCAAAGCCAAGCAAAAGTCTCTAAGGTCTGGGACGACGGGAAAATCAAAGTCTGGGAGAGCTCGGGGGCGGGGGGTGAGGGGGGTGGGAACTTGAGGTGCTGCAGTCGCAGGCTGGCTGGGGAGGCAGGAAGTGTGGTCACCTGAGGTCAGCCCGGCGGAGTTGAAGGGCAGCTGCCCCTCTGAGACAGTCCTAGGCTAACTTCCCGAAGCCTCTGCTCTTTCAGGCACAAGCGGCTGTTTAATAGTGAATGGCTGTTGTCTCCTTAAAGGACTCCCCGGGGTGCACGTGGGGTTAGCTCGCTGAAGGTTGAGTCTACTCCTGCCCAGCCCTAACCCCTGGGGCGGGCGTAAGGACTCACAGACACCTGCCCTGGAGTCGCAGGGCAGTGCCGGGTGCCATGTTCCACCCTTCTACAGAGTCTTAGCAGAAGAGAGGAGGACAAAGGTGCTCCTGGTTGAGGAGGAGGACGAGGAGGAGGAGGAGGAGGAGGAGGAAGAGGAGGAGGAGGAGGGATGCAGGCCAGGGGACGGGAGCCAGGAGCTGGGGTGGCAAGAAGCTGGTGTGAAAATGGTAGCCAGCAGCCCAGGCATGAGTTGGAAATGCAGAGAGGTCCTGGTCTTGATTGGCTGAGTCGGGATCTGCACACTGGCGGCAATCTGCCCGGGTGTGTACAGCAGTGTTTGAGAAACAGGGTGTGTGGTACAGCCAAAGAGCCTGAGAGTCCCTTTCAGGATGGATGGATGGTTTGAGTACATGCTTGTAAACACACACACACACACATGCATGCATGCATGTTGTTTGAGCTTCTAAAGCAGGTAGGGAGGTGCCATGCATACCAAAATGTGTGCCAGAGACAGAGGGAGGCGGGGGCGGGGTGGGGGTGGGGCAAAGGATGGCCAGCTCCCTCTCGTTCCTCTCACATCTGACTCCACAGGAGGACTGAGCGCTGCTTCTTGTCTCCAGGAGGACTGAGCTCCTGCCCCTGGCCTCCAGGAGGACTGAGCTCCGGCTCCTCATCTCCAGGAGGACTGAGCTCCTGCTCCTTGTGGGCCTGGGCCCAGGCCTCTTCTTCCCCATGCACGCGGAGGAAAAGCCGTGTCTGAGCATCCTGGTCAGGGCCAGGGCTTTGTTCCTCACAGGGGACAAAGCCCCTGGGTGAGGACTGCAGGGGAATTGGTGGCGGCTTCCTCCGAGGAGAGGAAGGCCGCATTAATCTAACAACTAGAGAAATCAGACGGAGGGTTTGACTTGTCCTTAAACAGGGTGGGGTCTTCTGAGGGTCAGACTTCACCTTTGGGTGAAGGTGAGAAGCGCATCCCAGGGAGGGTTTCCCCAGCCGGCCAGGTACGCGCGGGCACAGCGGCTCCCGGCTGCAGGCGGGCAGGCCTCCTGTATCCCCAGATGAACTGGGGGAGATGCTCTTAAGACTGAAAGCAAAGGGATGCTGTGCCGAGCTCAAGTCCAAGCGCCGCCCCAACAGGCTCCTGGGGAATCCCTAAGAATCACGTTTCTAGGACGGTCTTCATGCTGGAAGGGGAAGGTCTGTCCCAAGCTTGTTCCCAAAGCACCAAGGGCTTCCTTGAGCAAGCTATGACCTTCCCCGAATTAAATGCTAGAGAGCCCCACGGAGCGCCCCCTGGTGACAGAAAGCAGCTTTCAGCCTTCGTGTGTACACACACACACACACACACACACACACACACGCAAAAGAAGTGGACTGTGAGTGCTCAAGATTCATCTGGGATTGCGTTTGCTGCTGGTCAGGGGCCCAGTGGCTGTGCACGCTGCTTCCTGCATGTCTGGGCCGGTGGAGAAGGGCTGTGCTCCGTGGTGTGCAATGGGCCGAGGCTCCAGTGTGGGCATGGGCGTGCATGTGAGTATGTGTGTGTGTAGACATGTCTGTATGTGAATGCATACCTGTGCACAGTTGTGTGAGGGCAGATGCACAGTGTGACCGTGTGTGTGTGTGTGTGCATGCACACGCGTGTGCGCAGCGTCAGTGTGACCGAGCACTTCCTGGTGGCATGGGCGGTGCGCTGTTTCTCTTGTTGCTGCTTTGTGACCGGTTCTCTCCTGTGTGTCTCCCCCCAGGGCCCAGGGGGAAGATGGGCTCTTCTGGATGGAGACGGGTGCTGAGATGCTGCTTGCTGCTGGCCTTTGCCTGGGGCCCGGTCCTCAGCCACGTGCCACATGACCAGCAGGAGCCGCTGGAGCTGCAGGGGACCCAAGAGCCACTGGCCACGCCAGACCACTCTAAGAGGTGAGGGGCCCTGATGCCCGGTGCCCAGGAGCTCCGCCCCTGGCCAGGTTAAGACTAGGGTATATAGCACCACAAAGCATGGGGTTTTGGGGAGCTCCAAAGGGCAGACCCAATACCAGGGAGCTGTCCCAGGGGAGACTGGTTCTGAAGGAAGGCAGGACCTTTCGGTGACTCGGGATTCGTGTCTGATCCTGACCAAGCCCATCCTAACCCCGCTGGAGAGTATGTCTGCTAGTGGTGTTTTGGTTTTGTTTTTGTTGGTCATGAGGCTTGAACTCTGGGCCTGGGTGCTGTTCCTCAGCTCTTCAGTTCAAGGCAAGTACTCTACCACTTGAGCCACAGTACCACTTGCGGTTTTCTGATGGTTCATCGGAGAAAAGAATCTAATAGACTTTTCCTGCCCAGGCTGGCTTTGAACCGTGATCCTCAGATCTCAGCCTCCTGAGTAGCTAGGTTGACAAGTGTGAAACGCCGGTGCTCAGCTTCTCTCTTGTTTTTAATGTAACAAACATGAACCGATCAAGTGCCTGCTGTCAGTCAGACACCCCTTAGGCACCAAGGAAGCAGTAGAGTGACACATGCAGCCAGGCAGGCTCTGCACATAGTAGGGGTGCTGGGGTCACAGAAGAGGGAGGTGTGAGATCTAGGAAGGCTAACCAGCAGCATGAATTGTGTTTCAGAGGGTACCTGGGGATCTTCCAGGTGCAGGAGAAAAAGGCAGTCAGAATGCTGTGTGCATCTCGGGGAGCAGGGCGGGGCGGGAGGGGGGGTCAACGCTGAGGTCCCCCTCAGCAGGGAATGTGGAGTCACAGGGAGGTTTGCATTCTGTGGAGTTCTAGAAGGAGTGCTAGAGGGAAGTGTGAGGAAGGATGGAGGATCATGGGAGAAGTAAATCTAGAAGCGCGGTCCAAACAGCACTGGTTTGTTAGAGACGATGAGGGCCTGGGTCCAGTCCTGGGGGCACCTTGGGGCAGGGACTCGCTCCTCGGGACCCGGTGGGTGCTGAGGCAGAAGGCTCCACCTGAGCTCTTGGGGATGATACTGGAAATGTTTGGAAAGAGAAGGTCCCAGCCGGGCGCCGGTGGCTCACACCTGTCGTCTTAGCTACTCAAGAGGCTGAGATCTGAGGATCACAGTTCAACATCAGCCCAGGCAGGAAAGTCCATGAGATTCTGATATCCAATTAACCAGCAAAAAAAGCTAGAAGTGAAGGTGTGGTTCAAGTGGTAGAGTGCCAACCTTGAATGAAAAAGCTAAGGGACAATCCTCCCCTAGTCCATGAGTTCAAGCCCCAGTACCAGCATGCACGCACGCACGCACGCACGCAGGCACGCACATATGCACACACGCACACACACACTACACACATAGACACAGACACACACACAGACACACACACACACACACACACACACACACACACACACACACACACACAGAAGGCTCTGGGGCTTCAATTTTGGACATCTGTGGGTCCCCTGAATGCTGAACTGGAGATTGCTGGTGTGAAGTTCGATGTTGAAGGTCTGTAGTTCAGGAAATGGATTGGGGAGAGAGTATCCATCTCTGACACTGGACTTGCGGTGGTTAAACTCAGGGTATGTTGACTCGAGCCTGGATGGTCCGGGATTAATGGGGTATCTGCTGCTACCCTAGGCAGGTTTGTAGCACAGCACTAGTGCTGGGCAAGCTTGCGGCATCATGCAATGCTGTCCAGCGCCCCAAGGTGGCAGCATGGAGCCGTCACCGTGCCCCCGCTAGGAGCTTCACAAATGGGCCAGGGGAGCACATGGCTTCTCCTCTGGGGAAGCCCGCAGGGAATGACGGCCTGCATCTTGGAGCAAACCTGTCCTGCGGGCTCAGGTTTTTGCTGCCTTTTCCATTTGCACTATAATGGAAGAGGTGAGATCTTTCTGCAGTTTGGTTCAGGACCCCCCCCCCCCCCCTGCATGGCAAGGTGGGTACCCCAGGCCCACAAGACTCACGGGCAGCAGGTGAGAGGTGAGTCCCGGGCCCTGAGAGTGTGTGGCTTTTACTCTGACGTTTCAATTTCCTCAGAGCGGAAGAAAATGATGAAAAATACAGTTCCAGGCAGGGCGAGGAGCCCCCGGCCTCCCGGTGCTACCGCTGCTGTGACCCGGGGACCCCCGTGTATCAGGCCATCCCCGCACCCCAGATCAACATCACAATCCTGAAAGGTCAGCGGGTGCAGAGACAGGACGGAACTGGAGGGGACAGGAGTCCGGCCCAGCTGCCATCTGGGGGAGTGGCTGGGGGTGTGTGTGGGGGGGAGTAAGAAGCTCCCATCTTGAAGCTGTGACCCATTTCCAGGAGAAGAGGTTGGCAGGGAGGAGCCCACGGGAACAAGAGCAGGAGGGGCGCCTCAGGCCGCAGGTCTGGGTTCTCTGAGTTCTTTGCTGGGCGGCTTGGTCTCTCCAGCCCGCTTTCTGTCTTGTACAGCCCTGGGAGGAGGTTTGTACCCTGGACCCTGAGCTAAGCCCCAGACATCTGTAGCCCATTTGCTTGGAGAGAGCCTGGGCCTGGCCATGCAGCCTGTTGCTTGTGGACAAACCCATATGTTCCTTCATCCTTGCCAGGCTTTCCAGAAGGGGGAGAGAGAGAGAGAGAGAGAGAGAGAGAGAGAGAGAGAAGTATTGCTCCTGGATGGAAATAGATCAACCCTGGAAATGGAGTCTACTAGCTTGACTGATGGCAGACTCCTAATCCACCAGGGCTCAGGTTGAGATCACGTCAGAGCCATGACGTCCAACCAGGGCAACACCCAGGCAGTGTTTCTGTCCCTTGTAGGAGAGAAGGGCGACCGGGGAGATAGAGGACTCCAAGGGAAGTATGGCAAGACTGGCTCTGCGGGCGCCAGGGGCCATGCGGGCCCCAAGGGGCAGAAGGGCTCGATGGGGTCTCCCGGTGACCGGTGCAAGAACCACTACGCGGCCTTCTCGGTGGGCCGGAAGAAGCCACTGCACAGCAACGACTACTACCAGACGGTGGTCTTCGACACGGAGTTCGTGAACCTCTACAGCCATTTCAACATGTTCACCGGCAAGTTCTACTGCTACGTGCCTGGCATCTACTTCTTCAGCCTCAACGTGCACACGTGGAACCAGAAAGAGACGTATCTGCACATCATGAGGAACGCGGAGGAGATGGTGATCCTGTACGCGCAGGTGAGCGACCGCAGCATCATGCAGAGCCAGAGCCTGATGCTGGAGCTGCGGGAGCAGGACGAGGTGTGGGTGCGCCTCTTCAAGGGCGAGCGCGACAACGCCATCTTCAGCGACGAGTTTGACACCTATATCACCTTCAGTGGCTACCTGGTCAAGCCAGCCGCTGAGCCTTAGGGGATGCCCCGCCCCGCCCCGCCCCACCCCATCCTGCCCCGCCCCATCCTGGGAGTCTCACCGGGGGATTGCTGCGCCCTGCAGATCCTGAGGGTCTGCACCAGGCTGGCTTAGCAACTCTCTGCCCAGCCCTGGCTCTCTCAGCCTTTGCATCCCTAGCTTTGGCATTCTGTTCTGCAAGACGCCCCTGGCTGGTGAGAAGCCAAAAGGGCTGTGTGACCCCGGGTCACACGGGGTCTGGTTGGGAGAGAGCTGAGGATAGTGAAGTCATCAGGCGAGCTGGCCTGTGAGAAGCTCCCGGCCGCTCCAGCTCCAGCTCCAGCTCCCTTCTGTGTACATAGCCTTAAGCGACCCTGCAGCACCTCCCGTAGCAGCCAGGGCTTTGCCAAAGGAACTGCCCAGCTCTCCATCTTGGAAGCAATTGAGCAACTGCTGAAGGCTCCAAGGGAGAAAAGTAAACCCACCGAGGAAAAACAGAAAACGAGTTGTTCTTTTTGCTTTTCCAGCCAGCGGTCCTGGGGAGAGGTGCAGAGACCCTGCATGGGAGCCAGGAGGAAACTCCTGGGCCAGGGAGGGCCTGCGGGGTCCAGAAAATTCCTCTGGCTTTCCGGGGTGGGCTTACCTCCGTGGCTTGTTGCCAATCTGTGGCCTTTCTCAAGGTGAGGTGGGTCTTCCTGAGTGCAGCCATGAGGAGGCTAGGGCTGGGCCAAGAGTCAGCTCCCCAGCCAGGCACTGGGGCCTGTCATCCTAGCTACTGAGGAGGCTGAGATCTGAGGATCACGGTTCAAAGCCAGCCCGGGCAGGGAAGTCCGTGAGACTCTTATTTCCAAGGAACCACCAGAAAACCGAAAGTGGCACTATGGCTCAAGCGGTAGAGCGCTTGCCATGAGCTGAAGAGTTGAGGGACAGCGCCCAGGCCCCGAGTTCAAGCCCCACGACTGACCAAAAAAAAAAATAGCTCCCTGGAAGGACCGCCCAGCCCTCTGCAGCTGGCTCCTGGCTGGCAGACACGGCCTGCTCACCGCGGTGCCTGGGCACCTGTGGGTGGAGGGGCCTCACAGGCTCCCAGACCCCTAGCTGTATCCACAAGCAGCAAAGCCCGTGGGGCTTGCAGGCTCCGCCCCACTCTCTCCAGGCCACCCTGAGGCGCCACGCGCGATCGCCAGGCCTGCCCCGTGGCTCAGGCCTCGTTCCTCCTCCCAGCTGGCCGGCCATGGAGGGCCCTGGGTGTTTGCTTTTGCTCCTATCAAAGCACCTCACACTGCGCCCAGTCCTGTCTCTTCCCTGCTCTGCACCTCGGCATCTGCCACGTTCATTTGTAGCCAGGCGGGTGGAATCATCCAGATGGAAGGGGCCTTCACCTGGTCTCGTGGCCAGCAGCCCTTATGGCAGCTTGGGAGGGACTGTCTCTGGACCCCGGAGCAGGGAAGAGCTACGAGGGGTTGGAGAGCATCCCTCTGCCCCTGTCTGTTTCTAGGGCAGGAAATACGTGTCCAACCGCTTGGCTCAGAGTCGCCTGACTGTCAGAGGCTGTCCTGGGACCGCTGGGGCCGGGCTGGTGCATGCACGGATGCCCTGTCCACAGCAGCTGACAGTGCTGCCCTGTCCCGCGCCAAGTGGGGGCTCAGGGTCACTCTCGCTACCAGCTTTGGTCACCTACCCTCCCACTGGGGGTTTCCTTTGCTCAGCCTGGTGACTGAGCCTTCCTTCTTCCGGGGGCCCGGATGCCTGGTGCGGGGTCCACATGTGTCCCCTTGAAGGATTCTGCCGGCCGCATTCTCCAAGCGGCGTGTCTGGGGCCTGCTGTGGGCCTGCAGGCCTGTTTGTGCCCCGCTGCGGGCACGCTGCGGCGGGGCTTGCCTGGCTCCCCGCACCCCACCGCCCTTTCCAGGAAACATTAAACCTGGCATCTGTGCTTGAGCGTCCGGCCTCTTCTGTTTGCTCATTGAATCCAGTCCCCCTTTTCAACCCTGGGATGGGCCAGGAATGGGAAGGGGCTCAGCTTTATACTCGGGCACAGGCTGGGCCTTGAACTGCCTTGCCTGCCTCCCCTCTCCCTCCCTCCCCCACTGCCTGAAGGGGTGTGTGTGTCTCCCTCGCAGGAGCAGCCCCAGCTCCTGGGAAAAGCAAAATGCTGTGGTTGGGTTCACGGCCAGAGCAACCGTGCGAGGGTCCCGGAGCTAGGGTCACAAAGGGGTGGCGTTGCCCACAGCTGACAACCACAGGAACGGGTCCTGCACCAGCAATGGAGGTGCGGGGGCCCCTCAAAGCCTTCCTGCCCTTCCAGCTTCCGGTCGCCCCCCCCCCCTTCTTTAGTTCCCCCATTCAGTCTCCAGCCTCTTTCCTGTGGGCCTCACCCCAACATCTCTTGTTTAAACACCTGTTATTGGATTTAGGCTCCACCGTGAATGCAGGATGAGCTTGAACCCAGTCACATCTGTACACACTTTATTCCCAAAGACGCCACACCTGCCAGCACCCCAGGTCAGGGTGTGTGCATGTTTGGCAGGGGGAGGCTATAATACGGCCGCAGTGACACCCCCCAGTCTTGAGTGCCCCCATCGGGAGCCCCCGGCCTGCCCGAGTGGCAGAGGACAGATGTTCCTCCTCTTCTTTTCACCACTGGCCAACTGGGTGTGCAGCCAAGCCCTTCTCCAAGAGCCAGCAGCCAGCTCGGAAGCAGGAGCCAGCAGGCTGGCGGGCAGCTGGCCCGCACCCTGGCCCGGTGCTGGGTGAGTCCACGTGCTGTGCTCGGCTTTGGGCTGGAGCCAGAGGTGAGGCTGTGGGCGCGGCGTGCTGCTCACTCCCGGCTCAGACCGCTTCCCGGCACAGAGGCCCAAGAGGCCAGCCTGCGGGGGGGGGGGGGGGGCAGAGCGTTCTCCCAAAGGTGCTGGAAGGGCAGGGTTCCCGCCGTGCAGTGCTAATGCTCCCCTGCTCCCCTCCACCACTGCACCCCCAGAGGAAGGAGGCAGCGTGCGCTCTCCAGAGCTTTCTCAGCTTCCGCCTTGAAGTCCCTGCAGCCCCCCAATGCTGACATTTCTCATCCTCCACTCTCCACTTTGTTCCTGCTTGTGGACGGGCCCTGGAGACTTCATAACACATAAGACACGGTGCTTGCCTCCCAGGGGACTTTCCCAGCATTGTCCCTATGGCGGGCCCCGCAGGCCGGCCTTTTCAGAGTTGGACATTCGGCACCAAGTGGTGTGGCACGTCCGACAGTTTGTCGCAACAGGTCTTGTCCCTGTTTCCTGTCTCCAGCTAAAGAAATCCCAGTGTCTGCAAACCCAGATCTGCAAACTCAGCTGCAATACAAATATTCGTGTTTTAGCAAAAGGCCTGAGGACCGGCTGACAGCTCAGCCAAAGGAAAGAGCTGCTTGGAGCAGGATTTCCCAGTGTCTGTCGCCAGGGCAGGGGATGAGGAGGGCATCGCTGACTCCGGTCTCCAGGGACTTGCGTGGCTATCCGTCGGGAGCAGGGTGCATCCTGGGAAGCTGGCTTTATTAGCCACAGTCGCTGGGATAAAGGGAATCTATCTCGACCAGGTCAGCAGCAAGCAAGCAACACAACCAAGACTCCCAGAATGTTACAGAAAATAAAAAATAAGACAAGATTTAGACACACAAACCAATAGGGCTACGCCCCCACTTCACCCCATACACAGAATTAACTAAGAGTTAACTAAATGTAAGAGTTAAAACTGTCCAAGTTTTCAGAAGAAAGTCCAGGCACAAATCTTTCTGATCTTGATTAGGCAATTGTGTTACAGATAGATAACAAAAATAGTAGTAGCAGTAGTCGAAGAAGAATTATGTATCTCCAAAAATCTAAATTTAATTTAAAGAAAGGAAGAAAGGTAGGTAGAAAGGAAGGAGATATAGGGAAAGAAAGAAAATAAATTAGCTGGGCACTGGCGTACACACCTGTAATCCTGGCTACTCTGGAAAATGGTGGTTCAAAACCAACCCAGGAAGAAAGTCTCTGAAACTCCCATCTCCAAAATCACCAGGAAAAAGCCAGGCTGGAGGTATGACTCAAGTAGTAGAGCACCAGCCATGGAGTGACCAAGTAGAAAACTCAGGGCTTTAATTCAAGCTCCGGGACTAGAAAACACTAAAAAGAATAGAAAAGGAAAAGACAGTTAAAAAAAATGGGATCAAATAGATACGAATTACCTATCTGCTAAAGAGAAGTTCATCTAGAATACAGGAACAACTCCTACAACTTAATAATAAAAGATATATAGTCCAACTACACATAGCCAAAGGACTGGAAGCCACATTTCTTAAAAACAAACAAACCCTACATACAAGTAGCCAACACACACACAGGAACAGATGTTCACTGTTTGTTAGTGGCCATCAGGGTAAAGGGAAGATGGATGCAGAACCACAGTGAGCTACATCTTCTCAGCTTTACAACCAAGACGGCATTCATCAAGAAAACAGACAACAAGTGTTGGCAAGGTTGTCAAGAAACTGGAGCCCTGACGCATTGCTGACAGGGATGAAGGTACTGCAGCCTCTCTGGAATGTTAAATGTGGGGCTGCAGCTGCTTTTGGGATCTACACAAAGAAAGGAAAACACACAGGCTACGGGATGTGGCTCCAGTGGTAGAGCACCTGCCAAGTAAGCGTGGGACCCTGAGTTCATACCCCGGTGCGATCAATCCATTGATCAATCGATGGAAGCCTGAGGGCATCTGGCCTGCGGGCCATTTGGGACATGACAGGACGGACGCTGGCTTCTTGCATGCTCTCTCATTGGCTGCCCTTGGCCGTCTGTCTGTGTAGATAATTTTGTGGATGATCTTATATCTAAATGGCTCTTGGCAGATAAAAGGCTTCCAGTTCCTGTAAGATGGATGTTCATAGCAGAATTGAGCATAATGAAAAGGTAGATCTAACCTAAATATCTGCGGGCTGATGAACATTCTCTCTGTGCAATAGAATATTACTCAGCCATAACAAAGGATGAAGTGCTAATACTGACTTCAACCTGGATAAACCGGAAACACTTTATCCTAAGGGAAAGAAGACCAGGGGTTGGCCGACCTCACTTCTGTGTGGGATCCAGGACAGGTGAGTCTCTGGTGGTAGAGAGTAGATGAGAGGTCTCCCGGGCTGAATGGGAGCACGGGAGACCAGGAGGGCGAGGCGAGGCTCCTCCCAGGCCTGAGAAGATGTGAAAACTGACCATCATTACAGTTGCATGGTGGTGTGACTAGTCTCAAAACAATAAGACGGTGTACTCTTCCGGGCTTATCAGATGCGAGCTGTCGAACGGGGAGGAGGGGCTGGTGCAATTTGTAAGTTTCATCTCCATAAAGCTGTCATCAAAACAAACCCATTAAAAAAGTAAAAAACAAACCACTCAGGTTGCCTCTGGCATCCCCGGGGTGGCCCAGGAGGTCCTGCGGCTGCTGAGTTCTCCCCTTCGGGCGGAGTGGTGGCTCCCGGCGTGGCTCGGGGATGGGGCTCAGGGCCACGGGAAGGGATGGGAGAGCCGGCAAAGCTCTTCCAAGAACATTCCTGAACAGGCAGTGAGGTCACTGCAGCCTGACTCAAGGTGCCAGGGAGCGCATTCCAGAAGGAGAGAGTCACAGCGATCCCGCCCTGCTCTCCCGTGCCCTGCTTTCCCCGTGCCCTGCCCGGCGGGGAAGGGGTCAGGAAGGCAGGGTGACCTCAGCTGGCCTCCACACCCAGCCTCCACCCTCCAGGGACAGCCCAGGGGGAGGGGGGGGGCGGGGAAGCACAGCCGCTGCCCAGTGTGCAGATGGCCAAGGAAGATGAGGAATTTCCAC